ATATTTCTAATTTTTTGAGGAACCTCTACACTGTTTTCCATAACAGCTGTGTCAATTTGCACTACCACCAGTAGTACACAAGTGTTTGCTTTTATTCATGCCCCTACAAACACTTAATTTCAAGTGTTTGTGGTGATATTTTATTGTGGTTTTGATTTACATTTTCTTGTTGATTAGTGATGTGAAGCACCTTTTCATGTGCTTCAGGCCATTTGTATGCCCTGTTTGGAAAAATAGTCTATTCAGGTCCTCTGGTCATTTTTACTTTTATTTATTTATTTAGTTTGCCACTGAGTTGTAGGAGTTCTTCATATATTTGGAAGTTAACTGCTCTTCAGATATATGATTTGCAAATATTTTCTCCCATTTCATGGGTTGTCTTTTAATTTTGTTGATTGTTTCTTTGCTGAGTAGAGGCTTTTTAATTTGATGTAGTTCCACTTATTGATTTTTGCTTTTGTCGCCTGTGTTTTTGGTTGTTCTATCCAGAAAATTGCTGCCAAGACCAATGTCAAGGAGCTTTGGTTCCATGTTTTTTCCTGGGAGTCCTGCAGTTTCCGGTGTTATGTTTAAGTCTTGGTCCATTTCCAGTTCATTTTTTGTGAGTGCTGTAAGATTTTTCTGCATGTGGCTATCCCATTTTCCCAAAAAGAGAGACCTGAAATGTTCTCAACATAACACCAACAGTAAGATGGTAATTATGTAAGGGATGTGTTAACTGCCCTTAATGTGGTAAACATTTTGTAGAATATACATGTTAAATAATCACATCGTGCACTTTAGACTTATGTTATATACCAACTATATCTCAGTAAAGCTGGAGAAAAAAATAAAAAAATGTTCATTTACCTTAAATTACATTTTTTTAAATTTATTGATTTTTTTTAGAGAGAGAGAAGCGAGTGCGGAAAGAGAGATTAATGTGTTGTTCTACTTATTTATGCACTCATTGGGTGATTCTTGTATGTGCCCTGACCTGGTATTGAACCTACAACCCCAGTGCATTGGGATGACACTCCAAACAAGCCACCCAGCCAGGGCAAATTGTTAATTTTAATGACATTTGATAGCTGGATAGTAAAAACAAAAAATGATATACTCTGTGATCCTCAATCCCAACATTTATGTGAGGATAAATCACTCCCATAATGTTTGTATAATGTTGTAATATTGTAAATCTACCATGAAGTCTATAATTCACAGAAGCACTATTATTCTTTATCATTCTTTTTTTTTCCAAAAAAAAAAATTCTTCTAGGCTAGTGATTGACTTTTACATTTTATATCTTAATCCACTCTCCCCAGGCTCATCCAGGAGGCATAGGGGAGCTTAGAGCTCTGCCCCATCTACAACATTGGAGAGAAAGTGGGCCTTGTGTTTGCACCCACATATTCCTACAGCTTCCCAGAGGCTCATGAACAATGACTAAGGAGATAAACCATGCAGGAGATATCTAGAAAAAAAAGATAAAAGGAAAAAGGAAGAAAAGAAAAAAAATATATATCATCTTATCATAAAGTTGAGAACCTGGATCTCCTGGGTGGTAAAACACAAAGGTTGCATAGTCTAAGAAGAATTTTGTTTATTTATAGGATTTTATTATTACCCTTACCATATACTGTGTTTTGAGGACAAATTACACAAAACAAAAACAGAAGCATTGTGGGAGTTAGTATTATTTTTGTGGCTTTATAATACAAACAAAAATAGTGATTTTGTTAGTCTTTAAAATGTCAGCAATCATGTTGACATTTTTACTGCTAGAACTGCTAAACTCACAGACATGACGTAAAGTCACCACCAGAAAAAGTGTGCTAATCAATTCTCTTGTTGGGAAGGTTAAAAATACACTTTACTAATACCTGCATTCATTGGATAAAATTTGCAATGGAGGCTCAAAGAGCAATGTTTGGAACTTTAATCCTTCTATCTTAAAATAACTATAGAGGCTCTCACAATTAAGCAATCTGAACAGAAAGAATTAGCAAGGCTAGTTAACAGGCTTTATATGTTTCACTGCTCTGAAGCTATAAGACAAAGCCTCAAGTGGGACAATACACATGTGCAAAGGTTAGTTCGGGTTATTTGGAAAAACTTTTATTCCAAAATACTGTAGAGGACTTCTGGTCAAGATGGAGGTGTAAGGAAACATGGCTTTCCTCCTCACACAACCACATCAAAATTACAACTAAGCTATAGAACAGCCATCACTCACAATCTTCAGAAATCGAATTGTATGGAAGTCTGACAACTATGGAATTAAAGAAACTACATCCATCCAGACTGGTAGGAAGGGTGGAGATGCGGAGACATGGAACAGGCTGGTTGCCAACCCACATGTGGTAGATAAAAATTCCATGTATGGTGGAGGAGGGATATCTTGGTAATGAGGGGTCCCACCTGCACACCCGGCCCCCTAGCCCAGGGTTCCATTGCCAGGAAGATAAGTTCCCATAACTTCTGGCTGCAAAAACCAGTGGGGTTTGAGTCAGTTAAAGGAACTATTAGATTCCCAAGAAGTGCCTAAAAAGCTTGCACATGGATTTACTCAGACTCACTACCTCTGAGCTCCAGCACCTGGGTAGCAGCTTGAAAGGCACTAGTGGCATATGGGGAGGAACTGAAGTATCCGGCATCAAGGCGAGAGCTGGGGGATGGCTTTCTCCTAGATAGAACTGTGAGCAGAGGCTGTTGTTCCTTTTCTGAAGCCTCCCCCCATAGAACCACAGAGCTGGCAGGTAGGGGCCATATCTGCAACCCATCAACCTGGCTAACACTGTTTGTCCCACCCTGGAGATTCCCTGAGGCTCTGCCCCACCCAACTTGTGGGTCTTCCAAGCCGTTAACCCTGGCTTTCCATTATGAGTGGCTGCTCTTGGCTCATGTTTCACAACTTCTTAAATTCTATCAAACAAGCAACTGCTTTCCTCAGCAAGCCTCCAGCCTCCATACATCTTGCTAAGTGGCCCCAGGCCTGGCACTAGCAGCAGCCAGCCAGTGTTTGCAGCTTGGCTTCTGGGAACCTTCAAGCCCAGCACAAGTACCAGCCATCTCACATTGCTCTACAGCTCATGCAGAGTGGCCCCAGGCAGAACACAGGTAGGGGTTGATATTGGTCAGCACCACCCAGGAAACCCAAGAACCTGCACACCCAGTGGACAGCTAAGACCCTGTTGAGCACCACCACCCTGCCCTGGCACAGCTGATCCTTCACAGCGGGTGGAGTTTCATGATCAGTGGTCACATCCAGTCCTTACAGCTGACTGGTCTGGGTAAATCCCTCCCATTGATCTGCCAACAGATATCAAGGCTCAACTACAAGAGGAGGGTGCACTCAACCTACACAAAGGATGGGTGATACCCAGCTTGGGTGTTAGGGGAGGCTGTGCCACTGTAACCTACAGGACACCCACTACATTAGACTATACTACTAAAACAAGGAGTCATAGCAGCTCTACCTGATACATAGAAACAAACACAGGGAGGCTGCCAAAATTAGGAGACAAAGAAACATAGCCCAAATGAAAGGACAGATCACAACTCCAGAAAGAGAGATAAACTCCAGAAAATGGAGATAAACAAACTATCAGATGCAGAATTCAAAACACTGGTTATAAGGATGCTCAAGGAACTTAGTGAGGACCTCAACAGCATAGAAAAGATGTAGTCAGAAATGAAGGATACACTAATTGAAATAAAGAATAATTCACAGGAAAACAACAATAGAGTGGATCAAGCCGAGAATCAAGTCAATGATTTGGAACATCAGAAGCAAAAAACAATCAGAACAACAAGAAAAAAGAATCCCAAAAAAGGGAGATAGTATAAGGAGACTCTGAGACAACTTCCAGCATTTCAACATTCACATCATATGGGTGTCAGGAGAAGAAAAAGAACAAGACATTGGAAATCTATTTGAAAAAATAATGAAAGAAAACTTCCCTAATTTGGTGAAGGAAATAGACATGCATATCCAGGCAGCACAGAGAATCCCAAACAAAATGGATGCAAAAAGGCTCACTCCAAGACACATCATAATTAAAATGCCAAAGGTGAATGATTAAGAGAAAATCTTAAAAGCAGCAAGAGAAAAGAAGTTAGTTATCTACAGGGGAGTTCCCATAAAACTATCAGCTGATTTCCCAAAAGAATTTTTGCAGGCTAGAAGGGATTGGCAAGAAATATTCAAAGTCATGAGAAGCAGGGACCTATTGCTCTACCTAGCAAAGGTATCATTTAGAATTGAAGGGCAGATAAAGAGCTTCCAAGATGAAAAAACTAAAGGAGTTCACCATCACCAAACCATTATTATATGAGACGTTAAAGGGACTTATTGAAGAAAAAGAAGAACAAAAGTATGAACAATAAAATGGCAATAAATACATATCTGTCAACAATTGAACCTAAAAAAACAAACTAAGCAGTCAAGAACAACAGAGATAGAATCATGGATACAGAGAGCATTTTGATGGTTGCCAGGTGGGAGGGGTGTTGGGGGGAATGAGTGAAGAGATGAGGGGATTAAGAAGTACAAATTGGTAGTTAAAGAATACCCCTGACCAATGGACATAAACAAAGGTGTGGGGATTGCCTGAGGGAATGGAGGGTGCTGGGTGGAGGATAGCAAAGGAAGAACGATCAGGACAATTATAATAGCATAACCATAAAATATAATTTTAAAATATTGTAAACTTCCATTCTGCAGATGATTGGAATATTTTTGAATAATGAATCTATCCATTTATGTTGATAGGTTTTTGACCCTCGTAGTTTATTGCAGTTTCTACTGCAACATAATACATTGACCCAAATTTATCATATCAAAACAATTACTTTGTGCTCACAAATTCTGTGGGCCAGGGATTCAGATTGGCAAAGCAGGGATGGTTAATCTCTCCTCTTCGAGGTCTTAGGTTTCATCCCCTGGGCTGGGCTGGTCAAGACTAGGATGGCTGACAGGAGCACCTGTAGTTGGTGGTTAGTTTTTTTTTTTTTTCAGTCTCTGTAGAGACTGTGAAAAATTGCCAGTGCCAACTATATTTTAAGTTGTCACAGCACAGTATTGGGGAAAGTTTTCAGTTAGCAATAATCACACCTTGGATAAACCTCATTGGCTATGATACGGCCACTGCGCAAAGTATTTTTTTAAAAAATTGAAAGTAAATTTATTGAAGCTGGGGGCAGTGAAACAAGGAAGGGCTTAGGATGGAAGAAGCCACCTGGGAGACCTAGGCAGGATGGCCTTAGCTCACTGGGAAGTCAGAGAAGCCTTGGAATCATGTTTTGGGGGCTCACCTGGGAAAAGCTGCCACTGCCCATTGCTCCCTAGTTGCAAGTCCCATGGGGTATTTAGAGTACAGGTGATGCATGCCTGTAAAGAAAGAAAGGTGAGGGAATGTGTACCTGCTCTTTGCTTCTTTATGTGGCTCAGCTTCTAAATAGCTAGTGGTCTCAAGGTAGCTAGACTTTCCTATAGCAGCTCAGGGCTTCAAGCTAGAGTGCTCTAGTGCGTAAGTAGATGCTGCATTGCCTTTTATGACTCAACTTTATTATTTAGTTCACTGCAGTCTATTGGTTGAAGGAGTCATAAGGCTGCCCATAGTCAAGAAGTATGCCCACTGGCACCCCCTTTGCCTCACCTTTCAATGAGAGAAGTCATGACCCCATGACTTGGGGACATGTTCTAAAACCCTATATTCAACTCCCTCATATTCATGTTCAACTTGAAAAGATTTTTCTTTAGATATTTTCTCAAAGTGAATACAGCATATTCATAAAATGTCTTACATGTGGCCTAAAGCCATCAAAATCACCATGTTGACATGACCACTGGCCTGCAGTGACTGCAGAATGCTGCAGATGGCTCATCAAAACATAAGAAAAACATACACAGAGACAACCAGGTCCTGTGGGGAAATAGGGATGGAACGGCCACTCTCTCTAGTGGGGAGCACCATGGCCACCCACCCTAGGGGAGAGCGCCCCCGTTCTCCTACCCGAGCAGGCTTTTATTGGGTTCATTTACACAGGAATTCAGGTAAAGCTCATTAATCATTGCCAGGAAGTAAGGATCAAACAATACATAACAAAGAAGTCTGAGGGCCTAGTTTGAGTCAGGGTCAGATAGCTAAAGAGCTGTAAAACTTTGAGGGACAAACTTACTTCTTGCTCGGACCCTTATCATTTCATTGAGAGCATTCTAAACAAAGCAGGTTTCACAGGATCTTACATATTCTTTCTTAGGCCCGATCACCCGGGGAATCTGCCCTTTCCAGCACAGGGCTGCACCACCCTCTGTCATTGTTTCAGGCTTAGGTGGAGCAAGAGAAGGAGATTTTCTTGCAGACAACGAGGACTCAGGCTATGTCAAAGCCAAGGGGTGAGGGTCCATCACCCCCTTTTGCTGTAGCCTCCAAAGTCCTTCCTTGGGGGCCTCCCATGTGATCGTGCCTGTCTTAGATTGTCCCCCCTTGGGGAATCTTACCCGTCATTGGCTAACCAACCAAGCACTGGGGGCCAGGCAGGGTGAAGTAAAAGGACCAGAAGTGGAGCTCCTGCCAGGGAGATAACCTTTGTCTCCTTGCTGGCTTACAGTCCAAGGTCATTCCCTCAGCTTTAGCCTTGGCGGGGGTTACAGCTTCTGATACCAGGCAGGGCAGTTCCCAACACCATGTCATGATTTTTCTTTGTCAAGGAAAACAGATGAAGTGATCAAACTGTGCCTACTGTATTTAAACAAGACTTCCCAATATCTGTGTGTTCTTTCCATGAAATGGGCTGCATTTCTGCAAAGAGAGAAACCGTGAAACCATCTCTCATTGAAGAAATCAACCGTTTTATTTAGAAATCATGTTTTCTTGCTTGCTTTTACTGCTTGTTCTTTAGATATACCTATATATCTCTGCAAATAGACTGGGAAGATTAGGGGGAAGAAATGAAGCACTAGCTTCAGCTGCAAAATTTAAGGGAGCACCAAAATACTCAGTCATCAAAGCACATATTTTAATGCAACAGTTAAAAAAAATTAATGCCAAGTAATACATAATAAAATATCAGAATTTTAAATAAAGACAGTGATTCATTTCCTAGGGCTGCTGTAACAAAGTGCCATAAACTGGGTGACTAAAAACAACAGTTTGTCCCCCAGTCCTGGAGGCCAGGGGCTCTCAGAGAAACCTCACGCCTCTCTGCTAGCTTCTGAGGACAGCTGCCCTCCATCTTTGATGCTCCTTGCCTTGTAGCTGCATCATTCCCATCTGTCTCCTTCACATGGCCTTCTTCTTTGTGTGTCTCTGTGTCTGTCCTTTTCTAATAAGGACATCAGTCATTGGATTTAGGTCCCACCTGAGTCCAGTATGATCTCAATGTATTGCATCTGCAAAACCCTATTTCCAAATAAGGTCACATTCTGAGGCTCTGAGTGGATAGGACTTTTTGGGAGACACTATTCAACACTGCAGACAGGATCAGTATTACTGATCTTCCCTTTTGCCTCCTGATCCACTGTGGCTTGGCATGGTGCCCCCTATTGTAGGAGCTGCCAGCATGGGTTAGCCACTGCCAGGTGAGCTGCTGTTACATCAGCGCCGGGGCCCAGGACTGAGGAGGCCATTCTGTACATTCCTCCAGCGAAGTTTCACCCACTCACCTGCTTCAGCTTCCACATACCTATTTGATGACTCCGAAATCTCTTCACAACCTCACTGCTCTCCTGAGTTCTATGTTCCTTTCTGCAGGACACCCCAACTTGTTAGCCCACAGGCATCTCAAATTTTGTCTCCAACTGAAGTAGTCATATCTTCCTGTTCTCTTTTCCTGTCTCCTTTACTGATTTGATCACCCCCACCCCCAACAAGCCCGTGAGAGGTGTTCTTGACTCTCCCTCTCTCCCAACATTATCTTTGGGTCTACCTCAGACATAATTCTGGATCACCATCCTTTGCCAGGACTCACAGATCTTGTAGATATCCCTGTAGAATATTATATTCAACACGACCTGCTTTGAAAATAAGGGTTGTGACTTTGTTACAGGGTTTGCTATCAAGCAAGTTTTGGCTCAGAAAGCCCAATGATGATAGATGATTTTGTAGTTGTCAGCACAGCTTGGACATTATGATTTGATGTTTGGTATTATTGCTAAACTTAGTCATCCTAAGCAAATTCCTTCTCTTCTCTCTCATGATATCACTCCTTTCACCTCCCTACATTAGAGAAAGCCTGCTCAGTGGAAGGACACTTCTCTCTGCGGCCCTCTCCAATGTGGCTGCTCACAGGCTCCCGCTGCCCCTGGGCCTGGAGGAGGATGAGTGGGGGGTTGGGGGGTAGGGAGTGGATGTTCTCTTTCGGCCACTTCCAGATCACTTCTCCCCCTCCTTCGTACCCCTCCTCCCAGGGTTAGTCTTAGGCCACCAGACAGTACCTTATTCCACTCCTCTATAATGCAGTCATTATGAATCCCTGGGTCCTTCCCCCTCATTTTTTGAAGATTCTAATCTGTAGGCTCACTGCTCTTCTCTGAAGCAACTCCTTATTTCAACAGCCAGTGGGTGAACTTCCAATGGCCAGCCCTCATTGTTCCTTGACCTGCCCTCTCCCGAGAACCATAGCCTCCCCCCACAACAGCTGCTCAGCTCCCATAGACCTGCTCTAAATGTTGTGATACAGCATCCTAGTGTTAACCTCAGCTCTCTCCACGCCTCCAGTCTTTGCAGGTACCTCCTTCTCACAGTCCTTTTGACCCCACACCATTTCTCAATATTCTCCTTACGTGGCTTGAATTTCATGATCAGTCATTATAATTACTCCCTTGCACAACTCTCAGCTCCCAACCTAACCCACTCAGCATACCACAGCTGCAGGAAAACACTCAAGTGTGCCAACTGGACTTACTCTAAGTGCATGACTTCCACCCCAAGTGGACCATTCATTCTGTCTGTCAACTACTCATTTCCCTGGAACATTCATCCTCTCTGGATAACCCTTCTGGATAACATGCACACTCTCCTAGTAACCTGTTTTCATACCTTTTCTTATTTCTTTTAACCTCTGATACCTCTCCCTGATCCTCAGTCTTTTAGTTTTTTTTTTTTTAAGAAAACAGAAACCATCCAAATAGAAAGTCTCCAGCTCTCGGCACCTCAGCTCCATTCCATCCACATCTGGGCTGAATACTCAGCTTTCCCTTCCATTTCTGTTCCTAGTCTGTCCATGCTCCTAGGTAAGGGCTGTCCTTTTGCTGTGCTGAAGATCAATGACCAATTGCTAAAAAGAAACTACAGACCCAAAAGGGAGTCACTTATGTTACGCCCCACCAAGACTTAATACCGAACCTAACTTCAGAACCAGTTTCAGGCTCTCCTGGGAGTGGAATTTTAAACCAATCAGTCTGGAATGTCCTGGTTAGCCCTGATGAAATAATCCACCTTATCATTTCTCTTGCCTTCCTAAGGAAATGTGACATTTCCGGAACTAATCCACTTTTTTAACTTTCTTGTCTCATCCTCTTCCTGCCTATAAACCTGCTATTTTGTACAACCCCTCAGCCCCTCTGAGGTCCCTTCTAGCTGCTGGATTAGATGCTGCTGATTCATGAATTGCTTAATAAAGTTAATTAGATCTTCACATTTACTTTGGCTAAAGTTTATTCTTTAACACAATCAGTTAATATAATTGTCAACAAATGAATTATTTTTTTTCCGTACATAACCTGTGCTTTGATTTTTAAAAAATGTGGTGATTGCTGGGGGGAGGGGGCAGGTAGACGAGGGTGGGGGTGGTTAAATGGTGATAGGTGGAGACTTGACTTGGGGTGGTGAACACACGATACAGTGTACAGATGATGTGCTGTAGAACTGTGCGCCTGAAGCCTGTATAACTTTGTTAACCATTGTCACCCTAGGACATTCAATAAGAAATAAATGAGATAAAAACACAAAAAATTTCTCTCACATCTCCTCTAGCTACTGCTCCATCTCTCTGCTCTTCTTCACAGCAAACACCCCAGTATTCCTCAACTTCACTTTCCATTCAAACCAGGCCTCACCCTTGTCATTCCACCAAACCCATTCCCATCGAGGTCGCGATGACCTCCACATACTGGTAAATTCCGACACCTCATCTTTCTTGACCCACCAGCGGCTG